CCTGATTTACGATATGGCGGTCCTTCTCTAACCCAGTTGGCCAAATGAAGGGGATCATAGGGGTAAGCGATAGCTGTAGTATGATAGCGATAGCTCTAGTATGCGTCTATCAACTCATAGTAGATGGATTCCTTCAACCTCCATTAAATTAAGGGACGATGCTTGCGCTACTCCGAAAGCTAGTATCTCCCGCAGTGAAGCGATCCAACGGATTGTTGACCGTTGATTGGTGAGCAGTGCTAGCATCGAATAGATTGATGATATTTCGAGCCACTACACTCGCATTTTTCCCTTGGAGTGCCTGGTAGAAGGTGATGATACGATTCGGGTGTTGTCCATTCATTGACCGTAATGCCGCGAAAGCCCATACGCGTGCCCATATCTACTCATGTGTTGATTGCCCGGGGAACGTCCTACAAGTTTATCACCCTTGCTAACGTGTTCACGCTGTTGATACAAATTTTCAACGCTTCAAATTTTTTGTCGCAGGACTTATTCGCCAACCTAATATATTGTGCAATTTTAGGCTGTTCTCATGTACGGCGGAGTCTTCACCCTTATCGTACAAGGGCTTCGGCATCCACGTGTTGGTGGGCTTGGAAGAGTGTGGAGTATAGCAGTTGAGAGTGGACGAACCGCCGAATTGTTCAGACATGATCCTAGAATCGACCAGGTATTTACCATTAGACTGCAATTATTTCTTTTGCCCGGATCCAGATAGAACCATTTCAGCTTTCATTCACCCAGTTGGTAGAGGTTCTTTGAACAGCTGTACATGGTTTAGTTGGACAGGGTCTATCGCTGGTATTACCATGCTCGTCCTTTCTTTTCCTGAAACTGCTCGATGCTTTCCATCTACTAGTATGGAACGACATGGAAAAGAGTTAATCATTTCGTCAGTAGAGCAGTGGCTCTAAAACAATAATGCCACACCTATGGCTTTATGTAATGGGTATGAAAAGTCCAACTGAGCGCTTGCTGGTAATTCGACTAAGGAAATGGTCGGCCTTCAACAGCTAGCAAGAGAAGGCAGCGATTCGACAGACATTTTCAAGTCTTCGCAGCAATTGTAGCTCGATGACCCCCTTGCCCATGCTTCTTGAATTCTGGAATGTTTCATTGCTTTATACTGCTCCCCATACGAGTTTGTTAAGACGGAGCAGACAAAGTCGTCATCTCCGAGGTCCTAAAAGGAGAACGGAAATTTCAACCCGTGACACACCTGTTTAAAATTCATCATTTAGTACAACAGCATTTGGATAAACCTATTCTCTGGAACTATCACCTGGTTGGCTTCGTTCGGCGTTAATCAGCTTGCGATTCAAAGATACGCGAGCTTACCTTCGCTTCACAAGGCACAGGTACATTTTTTTCGTTCTTTTTTTACCAGTAGCATCGCGTTGTGGAAATGCATCAGTTCACGAGCTATTCTCAGATAAGAAGTCAGCCATACTTTTACAGAACATCATCTACTGCACACTAATTCCCTTCATCATTCTGTGCTCGATTGTGGCTTTTGTAGGATTCATCACTCTTGCCTATTTCTACAACTGCAATCCAGTCGAGACTGGAGAAATTGCAGACTCCGATCACATCACTATCTTATTTGCTAGAGATATCCTACGTATGTCTGTTTCATACATTTTCTCCCTTTTTTCCTCGAATTCACCTTTCTGTAGTATGTCGTGTAGCTTCCTTCTCAGCTACTTCGAATATCTGAGTAGGAAAGCGATGTTTGCTGAGTGGTCATCGCTATTAGGCCCCAAAGCGGTTGTTCAAGATTAGCTAACACAGAGTCTTAGCACTCGTTTGGTGACATCATCAGAGTAATGAGTTTAGTTAGTTAGTTACATTAGAGTGCCGGAAGTTGTGAATAGCAGCTCCCCCTTCACTATTAATTCCTTTTCAACCACTTGCGAATGTGGAAGTTCTCACAGTTCTGTGACGGATGCCTTAGATGAGAAACCAAACTTGACGGCAAACTTCAGAACTTGGTTTTCAAATACCCGATTGCCAGGCTTTCCACTCAGCAAACATGATTTCAAAATATGCACTACAGAAATGTAGATCATCTTTGAAGGGTGACGAAGATGGTAGCGCGTAGAATGTGTCAGTATTACCTGTTTTTGGGAGAACGGCGTGGAACTCGAAGCTTGGTGGACAAGCCACGGTTAGCTCTAGTTGCCGAATTCCTTTTTCTGTGAAACATGCGAAATTATTCCAACACTGACTCTCTGACCAACAGAGGGGAAGTTACGTACAAATAGATAACGGGTTAATGGATAATCATGAGAAAGTAAGCGAAGTACAGGAAGGGCTAGTTTTCTCTCTTTTGACCTCAGCAATGTCTTTCACCTTGTTTAAATTCTTCTGCCATTCGAGGTTTTCAGGTGTATTACATCATAAAATTAAGGGTCTAACGCTTCGAGAGCTCTCGAACGCTTAACACAGTTCGAGACGGTTTGCAATATCAGCGTTTGATCTCTCCAGCGAAACAGGACCGAAACTCATCGGAGAATTTCCACCTTCATGAAATACTCTCCAGGCTCCACTGTTAGAACGAATAGAATCCGCTGTCGCCACAGGCGACCTTCAGCAGTGAATGACAGTTCATGATGTCTCCCTTATTCTTATGATTAGAGAAGTCACATTATGATGCTACACCACAAGTCATAGCTCGCAGAAGGGAAAATATGGCAAGAGGCCATGGTTACGGACGGGCACCCACCTCTGTTGTTCATCTTGGAATTCCTTTGGAGAATCCAGAACGTCTCTAATGCCTTTCTTGCTGAAATTTCCGTCTCCTCTGCTGAACTCGTGTACTTCTTTCGAAATTGTTGCCGTCGTGTTCTTCAACTTGATGTCGTCAACCGAGCGCTGTCAGAAGACTTCTGTGCTTCATCATAGCTAAAAGTCCTTTTATCTGTATACCTGAATAGTTGTCGTTCTGTCCTGTCGATATAAGATCCACATGCCCGACACTCTAGCTGGTGGATCACTCGACATCCTAGCTGGTGGATCAAGTGCGCAATCACCTGTTTTCCCGTTGGGGCATATGGTGCAATCGCTCGTCGAGCACTGCTTTTCATGGAACCAGTTTCGAATTAACTGTTTGCTCGGTGATGCTGTTAGGTATATTTACCAATTGGACATCATCTCGCACGTCCGCTATTAAAATGCTCTGCTGTATTGCAGTACTGACTTTATCGGAGATGAAAAGAAGCGAAAGTGGTAGCTCCGTAGGGCGCGAAGCCCGGAGCGCCACCTGCCATATACTACCGTATAGCCATTCGCAGCAGCTACTATACCTCACCAGCTAAACGTCATGACTCGTGAAGTTCAACTTCACCCTTGCAGATACCTGTTGCCGTTCACAGCATATTGTTGACGACGGCACGTTTAACGGCTTGTGGATGAGCTGATGGTCGTTACTTGCCAAAGGACAAAAGCTAACTGATGTTGTAAACCATCTCGAATTGCGTTTATTCCTCTATTTAAATTGCTAAAGTGTTCCGCAAAAACTTCAAAAGGCATAAAAAGCGCTTTTTTGATAAAGTACATGAGCTGGTTAGGGATGCTTTGATGAACCGATTCAACCATTTTTCAGTGAAAGACACTGAGTATGACTTGCAATAGTATGCTATAAGTTTTTTAGTCTGCATAAGGTACTCGCTAGATAAGTAAGCAAATTCTACTTAATTTCCAAACCTTTACGAAGCAAATACAGCATCTATGGACTTTATCTATTACGAGATTAATAATGTCTGATGTCGTGCGGTCTCACCAATTATTATCATTCCTGCATTTGTACTTCCGAAAAAATCAATCATAAGTCCCAGCAAAATCATTCCAATCAACTCAGAGCCAACTCCTGGATTGTTTGGATTGTACGTGTCTTGCATTATGTCAGCCACGCTATCAACACTTTCGAGTGGAATGAACAGCATGGCAGCAGCAATCTATGAAGATTTTCTAAAACAAAAACTCGATGGCAAAATAACAGATCATCAGGCTACATTTCTCAATAAAGTGAGTTTTGAAGCTTCTATCCTTTAAAGGAATAGTATAATAGGCATCTTTTGTTGAAAAGCACGATTTGGGAACTCTATACGTTTGACTGCTTCCTGATGTGGTATTTTATGTTCAACGTCCCTTCACCGTCGACTTCATCCTAGACACACCACATCGAAGGTCCTGGAGGGAAACCCCGTGTAGAATTTTTAGTGAGCTGCAGACCTTCCGCTCTTCGTAGCCTTGTGATTAGTGCAGAACTTGTCATGGAGGAGAACATTCTGCCATCCGTTTAGTGGCAACAAGTCATTATTCATAGAAAACAAGCATCCAGTCGATTCTGTAGTCTGAGGCGAGATCTCGACTCAGAAATCAAGGAAAGAACGAGGTTCAAAATTTAGTCTTCTTTGGCTCATACAAAATGAATGATGGCAAACCTTGTCATAGAAATACTCTTGGACTCTTTGGCATGCAATTGTGGCGATTCTGCTTGCCGTTCCCTCGCCGACGTCTTGCTCCTCCATTACTAGCAATTCACATTTAACGTGACTTCAAAGTAAATGCAGTCAGTTTAGTTAGAGTTCTTGCTTTGCAGACGATCGTTGTTCTTTGTGGCATCACTTCCACAGCTCTTGCTTTCGCAGCCGAACCCTTAGGAGGCATTTTGAGGGTATCAATACTATCATTCGAGGACTGTAAGAAGTAGACTTCTCAAAACGTTTCATTTATAGGTCTGCGTCAGTGTAATGGGTGCCTTGTCCGGGCCAATGGTTGCCATCTTTGTTTTGGCTATGTTCTTTCCTCGATCAGGTTTTTGGAGCTGTATCATTTCATTTGTCGCATCCAACATAATCATGGTCATCATTTGCATAGCGAACTATATTGAAGACCCTTATAGAGAACTATTTCTACCAACAAATTCAAGGTGAGAATAGTTTCGGAAGTTCGCACCCCTTAAAATCTTAAAGTCTGTGCCGCGACTAAACAGTAAAGAAATCTCTTCATTATTTGGGCTTTTAGTCCCGCTCACTGCTCGCACCCCCTCTGCCGCGTAGGGATGTTCAGTCTCTGCAGACACGGTCTCCGTTTTCTAAAACAATACTGCCTCACAAGACTACTGTCTCGTGCGAGCTCTCTACACGCATGACATCTGCGGCCCAGCTTCAATCTACGACTATCCTGTCCGCAGAGGGACCAGCTTGCTGGGCACGATAAGACTGAGATAAGCTTGTATGCCAACTACGCGCAGAAAAATTGTAATTAAAAAGAGCACCTCAAAATTATTGTGAATTGTGCCTTCAGATCTTCCGAATAGCGCGACGAACACTATATTGATTCGCTGGCCTTACACTCCAGGAATTCCATCGAAAACAAACGCTCATTTAACCTAAAGATCGAACATTAAGTTATGACTTATTGAACATAGATCCGCACCACGCTGCAAGGGATATAACGGCGGTTCGTAGAGAAATAAAATGAAGGGTAAAGTGTTGAGAGCAATATTGAGGCCGTAAACAGGAGCTCACTTGCCTGAAGACATGCAAGTCTATCGTCGAGATTATGAGGCCGGGCGCGGTACGTGTCGCCCTACTCATTGCGAGGCAAGAGTAAAGTCTGATTTCGTAGGTCAATTCCTAGCAATTTTGTGCGCTTCGCCTCGATCGCAGTTACATATGCCTTGAAGATTAAGGAGAAGTTTCAGGAATAAAACCACATCGAACATGTTTAAAGTAACGTTTGCATACGGCAAAATAGTACAGAGAAATAAGCGTTGCAGGTTCGCTACAAAAGCGTGCGCTGCGCTACCTCCCTTATCTTTATGATAGAATCGCGCGAAATTCAAAATATTACTGCTCCCACCAAAGTCCTGGTATCCCACAGGCTAAGGTGTTCATGTTCCAGGGAAATTCCAAGGTAAAATTAACTCCTTACCCTAGCGAAAGTCCGAAAATCATATCAGAATTTCGAGTCGCGCATTTGTCATCATTCCATGTAGATCCATTTGGTATCTACTTATGACAGAGACCTGCGTCGTTGGGATTGGAATCATTGCCGGATTTCACTATTTATCGATAGTGTACCGCTCTGGGGAAACAATTAAGAGATACTGAAGGCAGCAAGTCTGACATCATAGACAAACACGGACAGAGCATAAAGAGCAAACAGCAAGAATAAATCTTCAGGGAGCACATGTTGAGATGTGGTGACGGTCAGAATACACTCTCATGGCAGTGGCACGAGGTGGAATAAGCTATATATGCCTGTCGCCGAGGTTCTTTTATGAATTGAATGATGAGAGCGGTTCGTACCCCGCGCAGAACCGCCCATGTAACTACCAAAAATGAGCCACACGTTGCGAAAACCTTGATACAGATTCTGAAACATCACGACAAAAGTTCAAAAATTTTGAAAAGTCGTCTAATTTATTTTGAAACTTAAGCTGGAAATGAATACCGCAGAAATTTCTAAATCTTCAGTAGCGCAGGATGTGGGCCGCAGAACCTTACAATTCGACAGCTTCCTTTATATGATGCCCACTACGGTGATCCGAACACCATGTTCATATCAAGGTATTACTTTTTACAAAATTTTGAACAGAATTCTGATTGATTTAATCCTCAAAAAATAATAAATAAACAAGGATTTCCACTTATGGTTACGCTGGAGTTGGCTTTGTATTAATGATGGCGATTGGAATAGCTATCAACATTTTCAAACCCGAACAAGAACCCGAACGGATACGACATCTGACCTTTGCGGGAAGGAAGTGAGTTGATTGAGATTCCCAGAATAAACCAGACCTATGGTTCACTTAACGGCGTTCAACCTTTACTGTTGACACCTTTGATCGTATACGAGGAGAGGTATATTCCTCTACGTGGTTCAAATCAAAAACTCTAAATGTCAGATCATTTGTGTGACAAATTTTTAGGGAACCGTGGCCGAAAACCTATCGCGAGCTTGACCATTTCATTCAGGCTGATAAAGCCCCATAACTCTCTACTTTTGTTGTTGCTGTTTTCTTTTGTTGTGTTGGATAATTTGTACAAAGTGATAAAGCTGTATGTATGTTGTTGCTATCTCGCCTAGACTAGCTCAAATGACCTTGTGTCTAGAAAGCTGGGCTCTTTCTATTGTTGTTGTTTACGTTTGCTCATTCCGATTTTAGCTTTCTCTGAAAGACACACAATTGAACTGTGACAGGAAAACCACAGCCCTGAACTGAAATGATAAAGAAATCAAACACGATCTATAAAACTCGAACGTTTATTGCATAACATCACCAAACCTTGTGTTGCTATTGGTTTTCTTGCTGTCCAATCAGGCTTAAAACTGTGTACTTGTTTGCAAATTTGGCCTTCCTACTCCTTCCGCTTTGAGGATCCGTGAAAGGAGAAAGCCGTATCGGCCTTATTTTTGATGCGAGTATTAAGGACCTCACGAATGATCGCAACTTTCATAGAGGTCCAAAGTTTTTGTAATTAATTGTTGAAATCACTGAACTTCACTGCAGCGGGCATCACGCAGTGTATCGGGCTTTCAAATACATGGTTCTCCGAAAGCAAATAAGAATATTTTAGGAAATTTCGGGTGCGACCACAATATTCAAATGGAACACGCGATGCTAACTATCAGACAACTGTATAGAATCTACGATATGAGCAAGACGCAGGTGTTTCCTTCAAGAGCTCGCGAGCAAGGTGCTTATTCCACAAGATCATCGCGGCAAATGCACAGAGAAGCAGAGGAATGAGTGGGACCTTTTTGAGTGCAGCACGAAGCGCCTTTAAAGTTAGAGGGTCAGGGGTCAAACGCTGACGCTCGACGCTCTTAAGTCAACCGATGACGCTCTCAGTCAACCAACTACGCTTGGCTCTTTGACGACGCTCGCCGTCGATCGATACCGCAAGGATCGGAGGTGGACTTTTTTGATCGATTTTTCTCCTTTTTCACGTCATGTGTACCACTGAAGTGTATCATAAAAAAGAGCTCTACGCAAGTCTGTCAGGAAAATAACATGCTCCAACCAGCGGCTTCAGCAATGAAGAGAACGCTGACGCTGTCGCCGAGTGCCAGCTGTCGACGTAAGAGCGTCAAACGTCGGAACATTGGACCGTCTCACGTCATTCACGCTAGACGCCGAAGTCTGAAAGCGTCCACCGAATGCAAGGAAATCAGTGGCCGACATTACTCATATCATAATCCCTGTAGGGCTTGTTATCAGGCAGAACTTCCAGACTGGAAAAGCTTCCTAGTGAAGACGTTGAGCAGTGTATTTTAAGAGCGAGGTTTCTTTGAAGAAAGCTTGATATGGAATGTTGGGTGAGCGCCGCATTTGTGGATAAACAGCATAAGCATACTCTCCATAAGAAGTACTCTGGAAGACGCCAACTCCTGGCGAGCCTTTTCGAATCAACGGGTCGCTTGCCCTCAGCCATGAAGAGGAACCATGAGTTCCTCCCAGGCATCACTAAAACGCCGTCCTCTGAGTACATTTTGACTTTGCAACAAGAGCTGATATCTCGTTATTCATCAGTCAAACTTAGTCCAGAGCCTGAAACGTTTCAATTACGTCGACCAAGCCAAGCACAGCTCAACGGAAACCTGACGAGAGAGGAGAAGGACGATGGAGTCCGTGCGACGGAACCACAACGAAGAAGCGGCTGCATGACTGCTATCCTTTACGCGGGTTCCTTGCAGAGACCTCTGCTTCTTTATCTATTTCTGATGTGAGAAGAGAGTGTCTGGAAGCACTAACATCGAATGTCGAACAGTTCTAACTCTGATTGAGCATTTGGGACAAAATGAAATGCATTGATCTGACACTAAACTCTTACCGTAGGGAAGAAAACCCGCCATATTGTTATCTTGTCACTCTCCGCTATGATCTTGGTGATATTTCTCCAGAGCGCTATCACTCGAGACATATTGCCATGTACTATGCGAACAGTAGGAATTGGAATGCAAAAGATGCTATAAGGGATCTATGCGTTGATGAGAGACAAAACTTGTAAAATTTCAAAGTGTCTGTAAGAGATAATGTCTCGTGTAATGCGCATTCAATGGGTACGTAACCTATACAATGACTTGTTGTTGCGCCAACGCCCGACGCCCCACACCTCGCAAATGTTGGGCATCAGAATTCGCCACGCTTAGGAGCGGCGTCGGCGTTGGAGTGAGGGTTCATCAGAGGACTTACGCGGCGCTCGCTCTCGTTTCTTGGCCACGCGGAAGGTTGACTCTTTGGCTCTCGCAGCCCCTACGCTGCTTCTGCGCATGACCATCACAATACGTAAACTACTTCTCCCACAATACCATTTAGCACATGCACAACCTAACTTTACGTTAATCAAAACGAGTCAGGTATTCCACGTCGTGTGCATCGACCTTGACCCTAAACATCCAACACAATTCATATCCATATTAGTTCTTAATGTCTACGACAGCATAGATCCGAAAGAAGGAAATAACATAAACGCGATGAATAACAGAAACAGTTAAATATGCTACGCTACGATATTGGCCAATTAACCTACGCGTCACGGGGGTCGAACCCAGAGCGCTTCGACTCACGGGCGAGAGGTGGCTCCGACAATCTCGGCGACGGGTTTCCATACCCAAGTAGATCACTATGTTGCGGATCTTATTGTATCATAGATTCCGGACGAGCTCCGACGGCGGGACGGCGCAACTATTCTGACCAAACTCGACGATGGCAGACGCAGACACTGATGAGGTATAGGGCAGAGCACGCGTCTACTTCGGCCGACGCGCAGCCGTCGATACGCAGCGCGCCTTGGGATCCCCGCGCATCCTACCAGGCGTGGTCCTAATAACAAGCCGGGCGGAAGCAAGGATAAGTCAGTGCTTTCATCCTCTTGGTTGGGTCTGGTGCCAGTCAACCGAAGGGAAGAAAGGCTCAGTTGGCTTAAGCGAATATCTATGCAGAATTCTAACGCCCATGCGTTCGTGTTAGGTCACCGCTCGCCGCTAGACCACTTCAGGCTTTATTAAAATTGCGGACCGAAGACTCGTCAAATAACCCCGCTGCATGCTACATTACAATTACATGTTGCTTTGGCGACTCATCATAACTTGCAAGGCAGATCTAACAAAGTCCTTCGAGTCCAGTAGTACTAGCAGTCGAGTACTTCGTGGGCCTAACGGATGTTCGAGATTGTTCTTCAAAGGAGCTCTAGGTATCATCCGCATTCATTCCTCTACTCTAGTAGAAGCAGGTTTTTCAAAAATGAGTGTTGCTGACTAATATCACTGTGGTGGCGGAAAATGGCTGGCGCTCGAACAATCTGCAAAAAATATCATATCAGATGCTTTCCGTTCAGTATCAAAATTGTCCAAAAAACCTCTCATAGGTTCTGTAGACATTGTTTAGACCAGAAACTTACTCATGTATCGCAATGAAGCTTGGATGCATTGTGTTTCCAGGAAGATGGAAAAAAGAAAATCCAGCTCTGTATGTTGATATCCCGGTATCCTTGAGGGAGGGTATAATTACACTGCTCCACAGCAGCGATTACTGTCTTTGAGCGACGTGTTTAACCTTGGTTTTTCGGTTGACAAAGAACCTCCCTGAACGATTAGCGAGACAGAAGGCGGATTAGTTCATGAAAACTCTCATTCACAAGTCGCCCACCTCCTCCACCATCTTTGTTCTGTTCCCAGACCCCAGCCCACTGATGGTGCTCCACTATACAATCTGGAGCGAAACAATGGTTGTTCGGCTTGAATCCCAATTTGAAAAGCTTTTTCAACATGCTATTTTTTTCGATTTTAAAAACACCTTCTTGCACAATCAGGGCAAACTCAAGGGCATGGGTGTCACTCTCACGATAATCTCAAGCAGCATGATGCTTAAAACCGTTCTAGAAGTATGAATTCATACTCTTCGGACTATTATGTCGCCTTAAATGTGAAAAGACAACTTTACTTTCCCAAAAGATTAGCAAGTTACTCTTCCACTTGCAATATACCAATGTCAGCCACTCGAACCCTCCTTAATATTCCGGAGTGTCACTTTGGTTATTATGAGTCGATATTTTAGGCTATGAGATAACATCGCTACAGCAGAACTAGTCTACTTAGATTGTCATCGAGCAAAATTTCATCCACCTCGAAACAATTTCGGCATTGTTTCCTTTCAAAATGGAAAAGTGTTTTTGTCGTGTCGGTTCTGTAGCACCTCTTGCTGAGGGTCCATCATTCTTGTCCCATGGATGTCCTAGGTGTTCAGTTCAGTGTTAATACCTGAAATGAGTTGAGAGCGAAGGGCAAGTCAGCGGAACCTACAGTTTTCTCCCAAAGCAGCAGCACATGCAACCAAGGGATGATCCTGCTATTCTTGGAACCTAAGATCCATTTTTCCCTGAAGACTTCAACCACGGAATGAATTATAATAGGAGCTTAATTAATTTTGTATCCTTTTAAAGCTTTTTTCCGATTCTTGTATGCATGTCTTATCGCCTTAACTCAGAGCCTATTCAGAGCGGATAGGTCTTTCATTTCTCATGCTTGAGTCTTTTTCAAGTTCCTTGAATAGAGCTAACACTGAAAAAATTCCAGATGCGAACTTTCCTCATTGCCTTGTGTGTCATCGGTCTTTCATCACCATGGGTTATCTACAGAAGGAATCACAAAAAGAAACTCGTCTGCAAGGTAACATTCCTCTCTCTGCAACTGTCTCCTTTCGCGACGAATGGGCTAAATGGGCGATGAAAATGATACCGTTAGGCATAGACTAGCCACATTGTGC